ACCACTTCTTTTATTGCCTCTCCATTGGAAGCGCTTGATTCACTGGCTTGTCTGCAATAAATAAGTGATTAGTGGCATGTTTAGGATCATGTTGCGTCATTCAAGTGTTATCACCTTGTCAAAATGATTGATTTGTATGTCAGACATTCTTGTACAATGTAAGCATAAATATATCTACCTATCTAACTTTGACTGCAGTTCCACAATTTTTAATTGCAGATCTTTAACGGATTTTGCATATTCATCTCTCTCAGTATTAAGTAATCCTTTGTACTCTACAATTATAGCGTTTTTATCGTCTTCCAACTGTTTCAGAGCAAGTAACAAAGATTTATTTTCTTCATTGGCATTTTCTCTCCTACGGTTAGCTTCAGCGTTATGTTTCATTTGCAAATCATTAATTTGTTTTCTCAAATCTTCAACAGTTAATTGCAATTTGTCGTTCATAATTTCTTTTTGATTATTCGATTCTTTGAGACTTTGCAGTTTAGATTCATAATTAACTTTCTCATTATTGAGAATTAAGATTTCTTCAGTACGTTTGTGTGTTAATGACATTGCATCGTATAATTGTTTATTCGTCTTGTCTATTTCAGCTGTTAGAGATTCTATCTGCTCGCGCATTTTATTAATTATATCATTGTTTTCCTCCGTTTGAATTAATTTGCTAGTATTTATTACTTCATTGGTTTGTGCAAGTGCATTGGAAAACTTCTTGCTTGGTTGTCTCTGTAAAAGTTTTACGGGAGAATCTGCATTTTTATTTTCCGGTTGTCTATCTGTTGTTTCTTTTGGTTGGTCAGTAGATTTTTGTAACATTTGTGGTTTTGTTAATGTTACTGTTTGACTTCCTAAAATCGAATGAAAGTTTGAGAATATTGTATGAAATATAAGTCACCATGATTGATATAATATTTTTTATTTTATTTTATGTAACTACTATATTATTAATGGTATACAATAAAGTTGTATTCTATTCTATTCTGTTCTATTCTATTCTATTCTACAGTAAAAAAATTAAAGGAATAATTTTAAAAAACCTACTTCTAGGACTTGTAGAGTCATCTTCGGATTGAACATCTTCCAATTCCATTTGAACAGATTGATCATCAGTGTCCTCGCCAATACTTCTACGTCGATCGTGTGGGATAGTCTTTTCAAATCCTTGATTTAGTAGCACGAGTGTTCTTTCTAAACTATTACAATGCTTCATTAAATCTTCGTGAGACGTTTCCATGGTTTTTAATTTTTTATTTATGTGTTCTATTTCCCTCGTATTCACTGATTGCTGCAATGATAAATATATCGATTTATAAATTACGAGCTGTGTAACTTTTTTTATTTAAAGAGACTTTTTTACTTACCATCATTATATATTTTAGTTTATGTGCACAGCTATCTTCTTCTATTAAGCATTTATTTTTGGACACATCCAAAATTTGATTGAATACAGCATGTTTTGAAATTAAGTTTGCTCGTAAATCTTCTATTTCGTAAAGTTTTTCGTCAACAGCTCGATTTTTGCGAGAAAGTTCTTCTAATTTATTTAAATACTTTTCGATGGATATCAGTGGTATGCTACCTTGATACTGTTGTCGGAGTGTTGTCAAAATTTCATACAAATATCTAAAATGTTTTAATTAGAATCAATGTATACGTACGCTTTTAATTACCGTCAATTTTATTGTGGCCCAAAAAGATAAATCAATTAGCACTTCATACCTGAATTTGGATTCATATCTCGTAGAATACACATTAAAGATCTTTTGACGCGCTCTAAACATGTCTTCAGCTTGTATTCTTAATTCTCTTTCCTTACTAAGAGCTGCCTGAAGTCGCTGCAATCTTTTATGGCTTTCTGACGCCTGAAGATGGGCGACTAAGATTTCTCCACTAAGTCTATAAATACAATGTCAATGTGTGGATTAAAGAATAAACCAGGCCTGAAACTGATTTATTCTTTAGAATCTCGATAGGAAAAAAACAGAGTGAATTTTTATCGCATTATACGTAGAATTCAACAAGATTGGTTTTACAATAATGGTTCAAAATAAGTTAACATTTAAATAAAGAATAAATATTATAATGATTTTACCTTGCTATTATAGCTTTGTTGTCACTTGTAGATTGTAGATCTAAGATTTGATGTTGCAGCATATTAATTTCCAGGTCGTTGCTCATTTGTCTCTGTTGACTGTCTTGTAACTGTAATAAAGAAGTAAAATTATTTTAATTGAATAGTATCTACAAATTACTGTTTCATTCGAAAATGTTTTACCTGAAGTAGTGCAATATCTAACTGACTACTAATATGTTGGCATTTATCTTTTAGTACCACGTTTTCGTCCGATAACTTATGTAGTTGTTCCTTCATTAAATTGGCTTCTTGTTTTGTTAAAGAAGCTAAAGTTTCGTCTCTAAAATCAGATAATAATATATTTTTTTTGTATATTGTCAAAAATAAATGTTACGTGTGTGAATTTTGTATAATGTCTTACATATTTTTCACTCGATCATCTTGTAGCTCCGTATTTTTCAATTCCAAAGTAGTAATTTTTTGATTTTTGTCATCTAACTCGGAACACAGTTGCTTTATTTGCTTGTCTAGCAATATTTGTTCTAATTTCGATTCCATTTTCTGTATATTATCTTCTGCTGATTTTCCTAAGAACAAAACATAGAGTAAATATTTCGTTTAAAGATTAAATATACCTAAATATGCGACTAAAAATACCTTGTTGTCGGTTCATTTCCAATCGAATGTAGTTAATTATATTAACTTTATCTTCGTCAAGTCGACTGAATAAGTTTAACATGTGATTTTTATTATTGACACCAGCTTCTACAAGTTTTCTGTATTTCGAAAGAATCTCACTGAGGGCAAAGTTTTGTTTCCAAAAGAGCTCAAGTGATACCGAGTAGCGCAATCTATCAGTTAAATTGGCGATATTAAGAATTAGTTTTTGGATTTGTGTTTCATACTCGGATGCTGCTTCCATTGCATCTCTTTTACTTTCCAGAACCTCGTTTTTCAAATTTTCATTCAAGGTTCGAATATACTTATATGCTTCTTCTAAATACGCACACTTTCTTTCCAAACAAGTAATACTAGGTATAGGAACTATTCCGGGTGAATTGTCACTGCTATCATCTTCTTGCAATTGACTTTTTAATCGTTCTATCTGGGCTTTGTAATTTTCTTCCTGAATAGACCACTTATTAAGATCGTCGCTGGCATGTATTGCCATAGACGTAAGTTTATCAAATAATTCTTTGAATTTCACGTGAAAATACTCCAATCCCTTTTTTAATTGACATTCGTACAAAGAATTTCCATTTTCAACCAATTTATCTATTTGTGATTTGTCATAAAAGTCAATGTCGTTTTGTTCTTTTTCTGACATCCATGAACCAAATTCAATATCATCGTTCTTTTGTTGCAGTAGTTTCTCTTCGGCCTCCTTTTCTTTATTTTTTACCTCCATTTCATTCAACCTCTTTTCAAGTTCTGATGATTTTTTCGTTGCGTCTGATAGCTGAGCCATTACATCGAAGGTTTCTTTTCTGTAAATCATTTTATTGTTATAAAATTAATTTAATACAAACAAATTAATTACATAATAGATATAAATATTAACCTTGCTTCATGTAAAGCAGTCAGTAGACCATCTTTACCACCTAAAGCGGTTCGTAATTCCATCACTGTAGACATGTGTGGTGCGAACCAGCCAGCTGAGTTACGTGCTTCCATTGATAATAGGATAGCTTCCAAACTTGGACATTTTAATGTCAGCACACCAGAAGAAGTCTTGCCTGAGAATTTAAAATGTTTAACGATGAATTACATAATTAATTCCAATTTTACCTTTAAATATAGGTGTTGGAATTTACAACATCTATAGTAATTATAGGTCTACTTACTATTATCTTTTAAGAAATCTAGGATTTCTTGGAGTCCTTTCCTAAGCCCTTTGTTCTCTTCAATAATTGTTAACATTTCCTTTTGTTGATTTTCTTTCTCCATTACAACTTGTTGGAATTCGGATTCTGTTATGGTGCTAAAAATGTAACTAGTTAAATGACAAGGTCATACAAAATTATAAGTAAAAAGGGGAAATAATTACCTTGTAGCTTCTTCTTTTTCAACTTTGGGCTCATTTTCATCGCTTTCGCTATCTTCCACTATTTCATCTATTTTACTCTTCGTGTATCCAATTTTATTTAGAACACTAATTAGTTTTTTAATTTTAGTATTCAACTGACGGTTACTCAGTTCTGTTCCTACAAGTTTATTTTCAAGCCTTTTTAATTCTTTTGTGATTTTTGCATTCGTTTCTTGTAAATTACGATAGTCTTTCATAATTCCTTTTACAGGTACTTTTTCTTCAGAAGGTACGTTGAATCTTTGCCTGTAGACACATAAAAAATAATTAATTACATAATATTTACGTTGACAGTTATTGTTTAAAAGATATAATATTACCTGAGTGTCTCATTTTCGAGTTGTAAATCATTGATCAAATTGTTTAGCGTATTTGCTTCTTGAACCAAAGTTTTGATGCCTTCGTCCTTAAACTTCAGTTGTCGTTTTTTATTTTTTAACCCTTCAAGTAATGCATTTATTCCTTCATCTGATTGCAAAAGTTGTAGCTGTGATGTTATTTCTGTCAACTTATCAACAAAAATTATTGAAAATATTTTTATATTACAGAAATTATTAATCGTTGGTTATTTTAGGAACTTACTTCTTTTTCCCTGGCTGCAATCATTTCTTCCGCACCCTGAAGACTAACCGTCAATGTTTTTACTTTACGTTTCAATTTGTTAATTATTGTTCGTTCTTTATTGTCGTCGCTTATATTTTTAGCCTCGGATATAGAATTATCAGGAACTTCTTCGATGACTGCTTTTAGTTGTTTATTTTCTGCTCTCAATAAATTAATAAGGTTGGCTGTTTGTTCAATTTCATTTGAAGCTTCAGTCAACTTATCTTGCAACTCCTTTATTTTGCGTTTCTCTGCGTCACTTTTCTGTGTAAGATGAGAGCGTATTTAGATTTTCTTAGTAAATTGTACTAAGATGCTTATGCTTAACAGTGATAGGCTAATATCTTTTTTAGTAAAATGATATCATGATCAGTTTCAAGTGCTAATTTAAATACTATACTTGCCTTGGGTGATGAGGTTGTACTTTTTGTTGCATCCTTTAAATCTTCTTTTAGCTTCAAGTTTTCATTAGTTACTGCTTCTAATTCAGCTTTCTTTGATTTAGCTATACTCTAGAAAAAATATGAGAATTTATTTCAGGCCTTTGCTCTGCAGTAGGCTAATAAAACCGTGTTCATTTCTTCAAAATTTATTGTACATTTTCTTTTATACTTACTTTCCAATGTTGAACTTTAGATTTGATATCTTCATACAGATTTTCTCTTTTAGAATCTTTTTCAAAAAGTTCTTTCCTCAATGCTTCCATTTCAACCGATAAATGAGCTTTGGCTTGCTCTGACTTTCCTAATAGCTCTGTAATAGCAAAAATTGTGAATAACTTAGGTATTTCGTTTTATTCGTCGTGAGCAGTATAAGAAAACAATAATTCACTACAATATTCCTATGTAACTACTTTACCTTTCAATTGTCCACATTCATTATTGATCGCCATTATTTGCTCCGTCAAGTTATCGATTAATTGAGTAGCTTCAGTTAACTTATCTTTTAGAACAGAAACCTTTTCTTTTAGGTTCGTATTCTCTTCTTCTAAAATCTGTAAACGGTTAATACTTAACATTATGTTTGTAGATTTTAAACTTTAATTAAAAATTAAAATTTCAATAATTACTTTAACATCATTAAGTAGTTTTCTAATATGCTTATTCTTCATGGTAACTTCTTGTTCCAGTTCAGCTACTGCGTTCATTTCTGAGAGTACATCACGACTGGAATCACTATCTATATCGAAGTTACTTCTACTCTCTTCTAATTTACTTTTCCTTGACTCCAGGTCAGCAATGTCAGCGTACAATTGCTCCAATATTTCTTTGTTTGCTTTTATTATTTCTTCTTGATGAGTTATCGTTTCTAGTGCGCTGTCATTACTTTGTGTTGGGGACACTGTATCATTAAAAATATGTAAATAAATCAAAGAAGTTCTATAATGGAATACTAAGATTTGTAGTCTATCTTTCCTACAGTGAGTTTTCCGCAAAACGTTAATGTCGAAATATAGGCTCAGTTACTTGGAATTATGTATGTTTACGATGAAGTTAAGCACCGGAAAAGATCAATAGACTGTGTTTTTCCTAGACTTCTCAATATTTTTTTAAGTAGGTTAAACTTCTTTAAGAAAATATATGATATCCGTTAGAAAACATAATTGAATTTCTCTTTGGAAACGCAAGATTAGCAAGCAATGGAAACATTCAAGACATTCAAGTGTAAAATAAGCAATTTAACTTGTTGAGAGAAAACAGCGAGGGAAATTCAATGTGGTAATATTTAGTATTAAAATAAGAAAGTGTTTAACACAATGTCATAATGTTGGATTTAGTATTGCGGCAATCACTAAGAAAGTTGCGTTTACCTGCGTATGTACTCTCCACTTTCATTTTGCCGCTTTTCTTATGAGATGACTTTAGTTGCCCGACCAGGTTGTTTACCTGAAGTGATATTAATATTATGATTTATAAATATGTATATTTGATGGGCCGACGCGACGTTTGACCACTATCTCGCCTGGGGAGTGATGATGCTAGTCTATCATATGTTGACAGCGGGTCTCGCATTGCCGGGATGAAAACATACATCCTAACAAACTTTCGCATTTATAATATTAGTTAAAAGACAAGATAGTTTGTCGCGTTAATTATAATTATGCTTCTTTAACCCGTCGTGTGTCTAAACGTGGATTCACGCGAGACACAATGTATTGTGTCTCATTATCCGGGCATTCGAGCCGTTAACGCAAGTGATTTGTCCTTACGTTAAGCTAACAACAAAGTAATTCGATGATTTGAACTTTTACACTTTTTAAAAACCCCATTAAACAAGTCAGTTTTTTAGGGACAGTAATCAGAGCAAGCCTAATATGGCTTTGTCTTTATCTCCATAACACTTTTAACAGACTTAGTAAGCTAAGTGAAACTTTCATTAATGGTTTAATAATTTAGAAGTGATTATTCTTGCTGTTTTTATATTGCCCGCGTGTTCCTGGCTACTGTAGCGAGTGCAAAGGTACATTTTCGGTTAGTTAGTACGCATTTTGTATATTTTGTTAAACAATTTATATAAATATTAATTAATGTTAGTCAATCGTTACACGATTGAGTAGAGATAAGCCGAGATTATCTATATGTTGTTTACGCTATTTGATTCGAAATAACAATTTGGGATTTACACAATAGTTGCATAGAACCCGCGAAACATGCAGCAACCAGTCACTCAGTCACTGCGCCAAGTGCGCCAACCGTTCAGATAAATTAATTGGAATTAAAATACATAAATAATTATTATGAAAGTTTGTCTATCACTTTATGTTTGCCCGTATATACCCAATTATAAAATAGAAATTTATTTCAAAAGCTTTCTAATTGTTGATAATTATTTATTGCACTTTACCATAAAATTGGAAACGTGCATGATGCATCAATATTTTAGCAATTCATCCGAACTATTCATAAATACCTGTTCACTCTTTAGTTTTAGAATATCTTGCGCGAGTCTAAATAGTGTTTTCAAGTCAGTAAAGTTCAATTCAATATCATCAGCCTCCATCCAACACAAACTTTCACATAATTTCTCTTTATCCGATTGTGTCAGTTCCTTCTGTGAGAAACTTAATATTTCTCGCCAGTCCGTTTCCACCATTTTTGATGATAACTTTTATCTTTTACCTCAATAATAACAATTAAGAACTGCAATGCGCGTCTGAATCATTTCCGTAAAAGTAATGTTTGTTTACATTTGGCGCCGTTGCTTAGCAACGGAACTTATACGAATGTTGCCAATAGTGTAAATGCGTGATATTCTGCCAAATTGCTGTAAGTAGTTTTAAAAATAATTAATACATAATAATTACATTAATTATTTATGCAAAATATTGTAAAAATTAAGCAGGCTAAATAAATTTCATAATAACTACATACTTTGCAAAAATAATATAAAAATTAAAAAATGTTCGTGTAGGTTAATTTATTTATTATACGGACTTCTTGGTTAATTTTATGATCATATACTGGCTGATTTTCTCAAAATTCTCCATGAGCACCATTTGTAATAACTAATAGAAAAATAAATAAATTTCTTTTTCTGTAACTTTTTATGGTTTTTTCTCAATTATTTCAAATGCAGCCTACAATTTGATACCTTGATTTATGCTTGAATAAGGTTTTACATCATAACCTAAGTATACCATACAAAACCATTACAAATTACAAAAATAATTTAACTTTCAAGTTTTATTATAGACTTTGTTCTGGACCGCTTGAAAATCTTGCAATATCACCGAATCTAATGATATTATCGAAACCCTTGTACTATTTTCAGGATCTAGGTACAAAAATAAGTTTCACAAGAAATAAAACACATAAATAAATACAAAGATTATTTTATTAGGTGTGATGATATCGAACAATAGCAGTTAATGTTATATTGTATGTCGAAGTGTCAACAACAAAATAAAACATTTGTGCTTTAAAAATAAATTAACAAAAGTAAATACAACAATACAATAGGTTAAAGGAATTGTGAAATAATTTGCATCTACACAAACGAAGCATTGACATAGGGCGAGGGATAGAACTTTGGTAACAAACATTTGTATGTATTTTTCTAAATATCCCTTCAGTGTCCGGTGCAGACGAGAGACTTTTGACTGTGATTATAGATCATAGAAACCATTGTACTTGAAATCTTTAAACCTTGTGATACGGTGATAAAATTGCATGATTACCCATCTGTCTCCCGTCTGCCCAGGACTTCATAAACACATGAACTACATCAGGAAGCAAATATGATAAAGGACCAAATAATTTAAAACACTGCAAAAATATAGTTCGAATCTGATCGATGACTAGACATTATTTAGAAAACAGTTAATACTTTTGATAGAAAGTTATATAAAAATGAAGTATATAGATGCCTGAACACTTGACACCATGATCTATACATAGCACGCGTATTTCCTAATATCGATACAACTTATATTAAATTAAGCATACAATATTGTCAAACGTTGCCAAATAATTACTCGCCCTATATTTACTAACCATTGCATAGTCTTGAGTATTATATAATAGGTATATATGTGGTAACTAACTCCCATACATTATGAATACAATATTCATTGTCTATGGGTACAGCTGTAACGCCAATGCTTACAAAACGTCGAAACTTTGTTACTCCCTGAATTTAACTACAACTACCAATCCAAAGTTTGACTTTTGCAGTTATGTAGTCCATGTATTGATGTATATAAATCGGTTAGTATTTTAGAATTAGTAATCCAGCTTCGACCTTTTAAAATATCACTTTTAAAAGACGAGCCCAAACAAGTCACTCCTAAGTTATAAATAAATACTACGCTAAACAATTTTACAAGTATATAAGTATTTTTATTATTTTTTACAATTATACAACATCGTAATTATTTGATAAACATACTCTTTGGGACGCATAAAACAACTTTGGATAGATTACATTGATGTGACGCGGTTAGATACTCTAGTCCACGGATGATAGAAGCGAAAATATAGGTACACCGATACATTCATACGTTCTACTGTTAGTATGTTAGGCTTTGTAGTACTAATGCCGTACTTGTTGGTACGCTTTGGTCAGCAACTACTTCCACCGAAGGCCGACTTCCCGCAGGCTACGGGACGCTTACTTAGCTTACATCCTTTGTAAAAAATATTATAAAAAGTCATGGCGTAATTTTGGTATCATTTGACGATAGACTCTAAGGTACATTATGGGTTATATTTAACATAGATCGGAGCTTACACTTAATATATGACCTCCACCGTTTCATGGTGAAGAGTACGTAATCGAGGGCGCGGTTTATAAATCTATTAGGTATATTGTTATAGAAGGTAGATCGGGGTATTTCAGAATATTGGTTATAAACTAACAATGTTTTGGTGACAATCATCTTTCATAACACTCGAATGTTCATGTATATTCACTGGCTAAGTATCGGGCCACGGAGTAGTGAACGAATGGAGTACTAGGTGGGAGAAGTTTGTGGGTTACGATTCACTCGTTTGTAAGTTCTTTAGCATTGTATTTATACTACTCCGTGTTTGATAATGTCTATCCAACGCAGTATGGTCAGTGAATACGTGTGGCGTGCAGTGTTATCGCGGGCGGCGCGCGCACAGCGCGGCGCGGCGCAGGCGCCGCAACAGCGATGTCTCGCGCTATCAGATGCGCTCCACGTAGTTTCCTGCAACAGAAGTGAAAAGTGTTAGTTTAAAGATTGATATCAACACATTTATGTTAAAGTTTCTTTACACATTTATGGTATAGATTTTAATGGCGATAATTATGTTTGTCGGTTACCATACCATGAGAGAAGCATCTCATAAGAATATTTAGAACACAAACATACCTGGGAAGGTTCCGAAGCGTCCAGTGCGTTGGCTGGAGCCTACGTACCAGCCGTCGTCACATTTCTCCAGGACGTACACCGTGTCGCCCTCGTTCAGCTCTAGTTCGTCAGGGTTCTGTGGTCGGTACTTGTACATAGCGCGGTATCTGTAACGAGAGAATTTTTCATTTAAATAACCATCTGTTTAGTAAACAGTATGTTGTAGGAAAGTAATTTGTACGCAATTACTACACGTGATGATATTGCAAGAATATCAAGAGACGATCAATGCGATCTTATTTATATTTTTAAATAAAGTACTCTTACCTCTCATTACCATAAATATTAACATGCATAATTTCTTCATTAAAAATTACAAGAAAAATATGAATACTAACGGTATGGCCTCCGCATTGGTGTCCACATACAAGGGCTCCGTGTTATTGAGGTCAACGCCCGCACCCGTTGGCGGTCCGTAACCGCGCTCTGATGGCGTCAGCGTCGCCTGCGCAGGTTTCGCGACGTAACCTGAGATATGACGTCACAGTTTAGTTTAGAGCAACAGATGAAGGTACATAAATAAAACGGAAGGCACAAATTTTTTGTAATATGAATAAAAAGAGATGAGTTTACATCGTTTACTTAGAGATGATAAGTATTGTAACAGTTCATTATTAATATTTATTTATGCTCAGTCTGTTTGAAGTTTTTTTAGGTAAACTTGGAAATATTTTTATAAATATGCCACGAGAAGTTAAAGCTATTACATTTCAGAACAAAACATGACATCAATGGCTTTCCTGCACCAGTTCCGTTTTGTAACTTGAGATTAGGGTACGTCACACATAAGGCCAGAAACAATGCGGTCTGCGGTCTGACATAAATAGGAATATAAATGTATGTCACTGCTCGTGTAGTGGCATATAGCAGAAGAATATAACTGAATTATTTACTTGACCCACCACCTTTGAAACCGAAATTATTTTAACAAAATTAAAAAAAGATTTCGGTTATTTTATAGACCCTTACATTTTATTTTGATTACATAAGAAAAATCTATACGAAAATGTTTTCTGTGATTACTCCATTTATTAAAACATCTATGTTTAACTAATGTCAGTGTTGTACCTGGAAGTGGTTGTGTGGCTGGTGGTGCATTGGAGAGCGCGGGACTGTTCGGTTGAGGAGTGTAACTGTGAGAACCCATGCTGCGTTTAGCTGAGCCATTGAGCAGACCGTGAGCCGCTGGAGACGCCACTGGCTTATCGCTGTTCAGTATTGGCTGCGGATCTGAAAATGTAGAATGGTTGGAGTTGATATTAGCAAAACGTATAGTATCTATGTGATTGTATGAACTATATATTCCTAGTTCTAAAAAAGTAATTACAATAGGGGTTCAATTCTAATACCGTAGACGGTTTCCAATTTAAGCACAATTGGATTCGTGACTGCGCTTGTGACCACGGCACTGGGTTATTGTATTGTTTACTAATAAAAACATTTACTTTACTTTTCATCTAATGCCATAACTCAATGAGATCACTATCCATTGAATTGATGTCTTTAACGTGTCCAATTAATAAATATTTACCTTAAGTTGTCCCAAATAACAACACCTCATTTTATTGCATATTTTATTGAACATTGACTATTGTTTTCTAAAGCAGAAAAATAACCACTAGATACCAAAAATATCATTTCACCTATTGACTGATAAGATACAATAAAATAGAGGGTATTTCCTAGTATTTTAATTAAAGGGCTTTGCAGATACAGCACCGATAAGTTGACTCATCATTCCAAGATAAGATAAACTTGTGGAATTTGTTAGCTAACATTACATTATGGTTAGTCAGCCTCATTAGTCAAACGCTTTGTTTATTGGCTTGCGTAATATTAGACATTTTCGCGCTAAAACGTTATTATGACAGTGACAGCTAAGAATTTACCGCCAATTTATCTATGGTCGTGAAAAAGTTTGTAAGTAAAAAGGTCAAAACTCAAACTCTGTGACTGTGATTACATATTATTTTCCGGTTCTTTTGATTATTATGTCATAGGACGAATGCTTAATTTCAAACTTATCGAATTATTGCTAAGCTATTTCCTGCTTTGCCTTTTACTTGAAGAAAAACAGAGTTTATTGTATTTATTTTATTATTATTAAATTATATAATTGTCATTCGTATCGAATGTAGCAACGGTAGGTAAGATTAACATTAGAGATTATCGACTGATGGATTATTAAATAATTATAGCCACACTTGTTAGTATAACAGTGTCTTATTTACTTTAAAAAGTAAGATTGTTTAAAAGTGGTACTTACCAGGTTTATTAGGGCTGGGTTCCTGTAGCACAGTTACGTAGCTATCAGGGAATATTCCCGTCTTGGAGCCATTTCTTCCTTCCCACCAGTTCTGATCGATGCGCCTTGTTAGCACAACCACTTCTCCCTTCTTCAAGGGCAGTTCCAAGTTCGTTTGTGCAGTAAAATCGAACTTTGCTCGAGCTCGACCCTCGACTATCGCTGGCTTTTTCGGAGTTTGTACTACATCACCTTTTTGGATCTGTAACATAGAAATGGAAATGGTTTCAAAAGCTATCATAACGTCAATGGTTATAGTTAAATTTGAGCCGAAACAGATTTTATGCAAAAAGGTCTCATAGTATTGCAAAATACTTAAGGACATTTTGATCGTACCTACTTATTCTTATTGGCCTTGATGTAAAGGCAAGTTTTTTACACCATACAGAAATAAATCTAAATAATCTAGAAACCTGATTTGTAGAATAAGAGCAGTAGTGGCGCATATTATTAAACTTGACTAAAGAGGTAGTATTATGGGAAATCAATAGGATAGTTTTCATAATACAACAATAGGATTATCACACGAAATGATATCATATGTTTTACGTACCTCAACGTAATTGTAAGGGAACAGGCCTATTCTCCCGTGGAGTTCACCTTCATACCAGTTGTTGTCAATTTGTCTCCTCACATGAATCAGTTCGCCTTTTCTAAAACTCAGTTCTCTTGCCGTCTGTCCATTGAATGTGTACAAAGCCTTGGCAATAACTTTCTCAGCTTCATCGTATCTGTTTAGAGGAAGAATGTTCTTTTGTGATGGCGTGAAGTTATCCTGGTGACGGCGGTTCTGCATGTCTTGTAGCTCCTGTAACATATTATGCATTGTTAAGTCTCTTTCCTGCGAATAATTTAGATGAAGGCGTATGATACAAAGCTTAGAAACTGAGGAAAATTTTGAAATTTTGTTAAAATGTTCACACGTCCGTTGCACTTTACGAACATTAGGATAATCCTCTGTGCAAGGGACAGTGTTTAGAAATGAGTTAGGCCAAATAATGTTATACAGCGTGTGTATGTCTTTTGTAATTAACGCGAAGAAATCAACCCAAACAGTAGAATCTGTTAGAACGTTTTCACACACTCTCTCAAACGTCACCTTCATTGAGGCATCGAATGCTTCTATATCAGCGGGACGTATTTCGTTTTCCTGAAAAGTTTTAATATTTGATACAATATTACCTCCATGACGTGATGGAACTCTGTATTTTCTGACGTTGAGTACATATTTAATTTTACATATCGTATTTTATAGTACCTATTAATTAAATTAAATTACTCGCTAGAACTAAGAGTACTATGTCAAATTGTCAAGTAACACTAATATCACTGTATAGTAACACTCATTTCACAGAACGTATTTACGTAATTATACACTCATTGAACGTAATCGTAATGGAAAATCATTTGCACGCGTATCATGATCGTCTCTCGCGCACGTTTCGCTCACACTGGGCCGACCGGGCCAGCCGTGCCATGCTCATAACAATACAAGAATACCTCTATATAACAAAAACATTAACATCTCCAATTTCTCTATAAAAACCAGCTTTATTAAAAGTCGTTAAGGTTGAAAATATAATAATCGAGGTGGAGTCAAAAATACGTGTGGTCAATTGGTCAACGGATTTTTCGTCGGTATGCAGAGACAAGGTCGTTTGGGTTTTTTGAATATTTAATGAAACTGGTCGATATTACCATAATGGTCGGTATGAATGGCAAATGCTCCTGATAGCATTATTTAAATTTTTATATCTTTGGTAGAGGCGTGAAATATAACGATTAACAGTAAGTCTCGTTTTCTTGGTTCATTATAGATGTTTATAATAAAAGCTGCGTTACTCGTATGTTAATAAAAAACTCGAATGATCAGTATTATGTGATGGTAAGGTACAGATTTCTCTCGAAGGGCTCGATCAGAGCTTGACGATAATTGGCGGATATTTTCACCATGAGTAGTTTAAGTGAAATCAGTGAAATGTTTGTATCTGTGCGATTGAAGTAGGTCGTATGCAAACAGTGCGTGTGCGCATCCGGAGCGGTAGTATTCATTTGTATGAGATGTGAACATGAGAGTGTTGTATTGTGCGTAAACTCACAACTAGTGAGTAACAACTACGCCGGTAATTATGTGTTAGCGATAGGTACCTATGTAGGCATATGTAAAGAGAAAGAAACAATAGTACCTACAACTCGGCACGGTACAATTTGGAAACAAGTTACAATATTGCATAATATATTAAACATGAGATAATTAGGAACGTATTAAAAGTGCATTATGTTAAATTTTAAAACATAACTGAAGAATAATAAAAATAAATATAATAATATGACACAAGCAAACGCAGTAACCGCAACTATTCTAATATACTGTTACAAAAAACCACATAGCCACGAGCGCCTGTAAACAACTAAACAAAACGTAAATGTCTATTATTTCTGTGATATTGTATTTTGTTATATTACTAGAAAATACAAAAACGTATTTAATTTTTGAAACCGTGAGTACAAAGACCTCGTAGGTTCTGTCCAGCTTAATATTCGGATATCGTCACGTCACTTTTCCATTTAGGAGCAGAGACAATAGAACGCTAAAGGATCGCTTAATTTATCATCAATCTTTATTCAGGGGTTCTGCCTAATTGGTCGGCATACTTATGTATGTAGATACCTACAAATAGATGATTAGCATACCTTGTATAATACACTCACTATCGCAAACAATGTCGCTTAGATCAATTAGCCTTTCAAATGTCGGATTATTAAAATTGGGTAGTTTCCAGGAAATCAAAATTAAAAAATATTAGACACGTATTTTTTATCTTTTCGTATTAAGTTGCAATACTTAGATAAAATGGCGCTAGGTTTAGGAGAGGGTCGTTACGTAATAACGTGCTATGTGACTCGCTGTGACGTCACACGATATTTCAAATTAATATATCGTCGAAAGTATTTAATTTTGTATGAAAAGAAAAAATACGTGTCTATAGTTTTAAATTAGTGTAGCAGACGGACATTAAAATAAAATTTAGGAGATTACCCTAAAGTATGATGGATATCTTTATCTAACAAGGTATGCTAATCATCTTAGAAATCAGTGAATTTTCCTTCGTAGTGATGTAGATATACTTAAATGAAAAACACAAAATATGTCGCTTAGATCAATTAGCCTTTCAACCGTCATGCATTCGATCATTTCCTGCTCTATATTCCAATCTTATTAAAGCTAAACCGGTCAATTCAAGTTACCAGTAATGCTGTAGACATTGCGTTGTATCAACTATTACTATTGCTATTAGATACGTGGACTTATGGCATATAATGATATAGCCACAGTTTATTCAACCAGTAACTGATGTAATCTACAAAATTGGGCACCATTTTGTTTTGTAGTAGAAATATTTTGAATACCTCTATCTATCTATCGTAGCTATGAGACTGGGTATGATTGGATTTAAAGAATGTTACACTTATAGTGGTAAACGTATCTTTTGATCTACATATATAAATAAAAATTTTCGTTTGTTAGTCTAGCTAAAACTTAAGAATGGCTGAACCTGATTTGGCTAATTTGGTCTTTAAATGTTCATGAAAGTCCAGGGAAGGTTTAAAGAAATGTTAGGCGGTACCAAGTTTGCCGGGTCTTCTAGTAATTTTATATTTACATTTAAACTTTCGTGAGACATACTATATTAATAATGAATTATCAGTAGCAGCGCGATAGTCGCGCAGTCGTGGGTCGCGAATTGCAGCTCATGAATATGAGCCGCTAGCATGGCTTGAAACTAGTCGGGTCCCTCGTCAAAAACGTGGGTAAGCCGGAATAAATATTAATTAATTCTATATTTATTGAATGACTAACTGTGCATGAGGAGTTTTCCAAGGGTTCCACAATCATTTAGCAATCTAAATTAACCAAATTAGTCATGCTCTTCTCTAGTTGTAGCAAGCTAGACTAATGGGTAGTAGTTTATTGTATATGGATCTGTTTGATTCTTATTATTCCTCCAACCTTCCCATGTAAAACATTAATAATAGCAGCGTGAGCATAGTTATCTTTCATAACAACAGATGTCGCTATAGTTTTCTAAACACAATGATTGTGTTGATGTTATACGCGTCGCTCATGGTTACTCCACATTTGTTTGCAAGCGAAACTAAGGGCTAACAGATACACTAGCAGACTTCATTTATAAGAATATAACTTTATTAAACCCTGATGAGAATGGACGTTTAAACTTCTTTGAAAGAAGTGTTCTATAATTCATCAACTTATGTGGAAACGGCAACTTTTGCCAAGAAACCAATTAGACGCACCTAGTTACCCCAACTGACTTACAATTTAATTACACAGAATCAAAATAATGCTATCACAGTAAATTACATTACCTAATATGAACTAGTATCACTTATAAAACAATTAAGTATTATTAATTAATGAATAACTTGTACTTACAAGATCATGTCACTTAGTACAACGAAATTAACATACGTACAGACTATATTCTACCCTTAACCCGAAGTTCAATAAATTTAACCTATATCAGGTTATCGATCAAACTGCAGTCGCGTGTTGGCGCCTAGTTAAACAAGATTAATCGTTAATCGCAACATTGAGTGACGCGATAATCGTATTCGGAATATTCCGATAAAACGGTCCGTTTTTGCGCATATCGATGCTCGGTTTAGAATCGATTGCAGATTGCATGCAACGTAATGTAATACTATGAGAAAATTCTTGTATTGGAATCGAATTGAAAGTTATGAGTTTTCTTTGTCGGGTTGTTTGCGACATACTTTTCTATAGCCGTTTGGAAATTGTAGTCTGTTGTGATTTTTTGTTGTTTAATTACGACATGCTTTTGACCTAAAATTCGATATAATGGGATTTGATTGACTGACTTTTTTATATATTAGTCAGTTATATTTACCTACTAAAGCGCTTATTGTCATTTAATAAATACACCATTATTATTAAAACATCACTATGTTTAACGGTTTGATATTTACTTAAAAATAAAATTTAAACCATAAGTAATAAATGTTGATAAGTAAAAAAGATTTTCTAGGTTTACAATTTCTATTTATATGGAGTGACTTGAGTACGCTTATATTAGAAATCGATACCTTTTAAAGTAGGTACTTGAATCATTGGAATATCTATTCAATAGGAAGTCAGTTATCTAACAAAAGATAATACCTACAATAGATAGATTTTAAAGTGCTCAGAGATAGAAAAAATACTATTGAACCAACCGCAGTAGAAATGAACATAACAATACCATTTACTATCGCAAGGAATACGGATCCTTTTATCAATGATTGATTGATAACTATTACCATGACGACAAAGTTTAGACTCATTTTTGACTGTTTAGTACGTTATCATATCGCAAGCAATGGTTTAAACATATTTAAGTGACTTCAAATAATTTCATACTAGTCAGAGGAGCTTGTAAACAAATTCTCTAATTTACCTAGTATCCACTAATTTTTTTTATGGGATAAGACATGATATGGACACTCGGAATACAAACGCGTTACAAGTGCGTTACCAGCCATTTGGGGATTATGAATTTGAGGATTGTTGGGGATTCAGGGATTGGATTGGGGAAGGGGAGGGGGTAATGGGTCCACTGGTAACCTCACTCACATGACGAAACACAACGCAAGCGTTGTTGGGCAATTCCTTTTTGTTTCTACATTTTGATCCCAGTGATGTGCTATGGAATAAATCTATGTCCACATGTGCATAACGGGCAACGGGCTGATGACGATAGTTCATGGTATGCCTTCACGAACAGTCCTATGCAGGACTGTAATAGTGTAGACTAGTGGACCTCCTCTACATAAAACACAATCTCCATATTTACCTGTAGATATTTGTTCCTCTTCTGTTCTCTGTACAATCTCTTCATGTGCTCGGCCTGTTGGCGCGCCAGCTCCCTCTCCGGCACGAGAGGCAGGGGATCGTGCCTCACCGGACATCTGTAGTGGATGTTAACGTCACTCTCCACGTAGCGGCGAGGGGATTCTATTGGAAGAAATGGAAAAAGATTAATAAAGTTTGTAACATGAATATTTCTGTAGGATTCCGTTTATGTGTTTTAGATTAGACTGTAGAAAAGGTTTTTTGTTATCATCTAGGAAAGGTTAAATAGTGATAAATAAGACATGGTTTTGGTTTTAACGTTACGCATATAGTTTTAAGTGATCAAGATTCCGTGTGTCTCAGTTTATTGTGCGCCATCGTAGACCGCATCTTTTCTTACCACCAGGCGAGATAGAGGTCAAACGTCGGCCGATTAAATATACTTAAAAAAAGTATTATTCCATAATTCCTAATTTAGATTGAATGTGTTGTTAGTGTCAATAACATAGGCAATAAACATTGATAGTAAATTATTGTCACAATTACAATTTACTACAACTAGAAGCATGACATCCAATAATTTCGATGCTTAATGAAACAATTACTATTTCTTGACTATTTTTTATTTACTGTCACTTTGCAATTACCTACCTCGTATTCGTCGTTGCTAGTATTTAAAATAATTACTCAAAAATATCATTAGACACGAGACCGAATCTATTCCCGGGTACACGGATACTGCTCACACGTAACATTAAGCTGTAATTACTTACTTTCACGTGAAATACTGATAATTGCTAATATTGCTTTTAGCACGATACACACAACTACAGGGCGTTGAGAAAGGGCTTGTGAAGTAAAGATATTTTCTCTTTGATGACTCTTTAGCTATATGGTGTTTGCAAAAGAGAAAACTTTAAGTTTATAATGTAAATGGTGTTTAGTAACATAACATAACATCACGCTTTTTATCCCCGAAGGGGTAGGCAGACGTGTACATTACTGCACTTAATGTCATTGTGCAATGTAACACCCACTTTTCATTATTTATGTTATGAGTGCAATGTAATAGGGGGTGAGCCGATTGTCATATACCGGGTACAATTCCAGACTCCGTGCTACTACTGAGATTTTTTTTTAAAGTCCAGTAATACTTTGTCCGACCCGGGAATCGAACCCGCGACCCCGGGCCCGGCAGTCGCAATTGCGACAACTTGGCCAACGAGGCAGTCTCAGGCAATGGTGTTTACTGTTTGTAGTAAAATATGTTGAATATTATTATTTGCTATAGGTAACGCTGAAGAGTTACTTATTTGTGTAATTTAAAGAAACTTTGGTAAGTACCGAGAAGTATTTAATGCGCAGAAATAAAATGTTTCACAATATAATACAACCTCCACAGTTCATTCACTTCTTTGATAAGATGCTTATGTTTGGAGACGAGTAAACAATTAAAAGCTAATATTGAATACTTAAACACATTCTTATATTTAGGAACAGCACGACAGACTTAATTATTTTATAGCAGTCTTAACACATATTAAAAAATACTAGACTAAAGATATCATCTCATTTAAATGCGTACAAATTCATAAACAATGCGAGCTACTAGGCCCGTAAACCGTAGCGGTGATCCTACTAATATTACAAATGCGAAAGTTTGTGAGGATGTATGTTTGTGTGTGTGTGTGTGTGTGTGTGTGTGTGTGTGTGTGTGTGTGTGTGTGTGTATGTGTTTTCTCCTCTTTCACGTCAAGGCTCAAGGGATCGAGATGAATTTTGGAATAAAGGTAGCTTATGGTCTGAATAACACATAGGTCACTTTTATCTGCAAAACGTCACCCAAATGCTCGTTAGTCAGGGAGGTATTATTGTAATATAATGCTCAAAGTCGAATCTATAATGTTACATTACACGTGAATTGTCCCGGTGAGGCAGCACCTTTAAATTTTGTCTTTACATCGTTCACATATATATACATTAGGTAAAGGATCAGATAATGTATCAATGACACTGTAAAAACATTTTTTTTAAATAGGAACGATGGAGTTTCTTGCTCGTTCTTCTCCATTCGAAACTACACTTTGGAACGAGCGCCTAGTTTCACTGACGGACATACGGACGGACAATTCAATTGTTGACGTTTTAAAAGTGCCTAATTTACGATTAATTGTAATAAATTGACTTTGACAAATCTCACAGAAATGCGGGCAAAACCGCTGGAAGTAGCTAGTTTATTATAAAAAATACTATATTACTACGCAGTATATTTAATTTCCATCAAAAGTGAAAGCGGTCTGCAATATGGCGGCCATCGATGTAACGTCGTGTGATCGGTGATTTTCTTTATCTACTAGTTGTTATATGATGATACGTAAGAACCGGTCCGATTTTGTAACTACGGAAGTAAGAGGTGGCGAGTCGTTTTAGGAATTAAATAATATATGCATAATTATAATTATTATGATGTGTAGTTTTAAACGAGATTGTTTAATTGTCTATGTGTTTGAGAATGAAGATTAAAAAATCTTTGATTATTATAATTGAAAAATTATTTCGACTGTTCAATACAATGCAATATTAAAAAATATTCACGCTTTCATTAATTGATTTTATGACTAACTTAATTTTAGTATTATTCCAGCATTTTTTTAAGAAATAAGTATGGTGTTTGATGCTGAAAAAAACGTGACGTCACAATTCACAAACTCGTACAAAATTCATAGAATACTATCGTATAATAATGAATTTGATTAGTTGGCAAGTACCAAATTTGGATGATGTACTTTCTGTCTTATATTTTACTACTTTGAGTCCAAACTAATTTGTCATCTTGCTAAAAAATGCCTCTTTACAATCTTTTATATTTATACAATTATATGGTATGTACTTACGTGTATACTTTATAATAAATTACAAGATAATTACATTCCTGAGCGTACATACATAATCCGAATACGAATTCCATTTTTACGAGATTGTTTGCGAAATATTTAACATTCTAACGTTTATCAACGACTATCAGATTCAAATCGTTTAGAGCAGACATTACCTATAAACTAAAAGTGATATATAATTCTTCTTCAAAACTTGCATGTTTTATAAAAATTAAATGCTTTTGAGGTCTGCCTCTATGGTCGAGTTTTTACAAGCGTAACTGCCGAGCAACAAAACAGTTTCAAATTGGTAATTTGGCTTATTGATATCTAGACTGCCTCGTTGGCCGAGTGGTCGCAAGTGCGACTGGCGGGCAAGGGGTTTTGGGTTCGATTCCCGGGTCGGGCACAGTATTACTGGGTTTTTAAAAAAAAATTAAAAGGAAGAGTCTGCAATAGTGCCCGGTATATGGCAATAGGCTTAACCCCTATTACATATGGGACTCATAACATTAATAGTCAAAAGTGGGTGTTACCTCTGTGTGCACCTCTGCCTACCCCTTTGGGGATAAAAGGCGTGATATTATGTTATGTTGTGATACCAAGAACTACGATAATATATGCTTTCTTTGAGGAAAAATCATCAAATGACTTCTCAAGCCCTGGGTGAGGCGGGAGGGAGTGTTGAACTCTTACTGACTAAAAACCGCCCCGTTCCTACTTCTGCTATGAGCATAGCCCCGGTAACTCCTTACGCTTCTCTGCAGTCATAGCATAGAGTGGGACCTTTAACATGGCTGGTAATGTAACACTTTTATAGAAAGGTGTAATGTTATATTCATTTTAATTTTTAGTTACATGGTAATTAATCGGTAGAAATTCCGGTAAGGCCGGACGCATTTTATTCTTTGTTTACAATTGTGTTCCGGGGTAACGGAACGGATGTCTTAGCATCTGGTATACATAATTATAACAGGTACACATATTTTTAATTAATAATATTAATATAACAGGCGCGTTTTTGACCTTATAAGGAATTTAGAAAGATTTTTTCTTCACATTTGTAGGTAACTAGCGACCTGCCCCGGCTTCGCACGGGTGCAATATTCATGTAATTATAAACCTTCCTTAAGAATCACTCAATCTAATAAAACAACGCATCAAAATCCGTTGCGTAGTTTTAAAGATCTAAGCATATATAGGGACAGACAGACGGCGGATAGCGACTTTATTTTAAACTATGTAGTGAAAATGAAACAAACAAAGAGAAAATAAATTAGATCTTAAACACAACGGATTCAGATTCAGTATGACCTTTGTCCATAACTGAAGATATAATCCATAAAATAGGTATAAACCGTTATAAATGAATCATTTTGAGTATTATACAACTGTGTACAATATTATTTTAAAGCAATATTGTTTTATCGAAAGGTGTGTCATGATTTTTATCTAAAACCACGTTGTTTAATAGACAGCATGATAATATATAAATATCCCTTGGAATAAGTAATTTAATAATTAGTTAACATTTTTTAAATCTTAGGTCATTCAACCGAAACGAACGAACTAGATGTGTTTGAGCTATGAACGGCCATAAAACTAAGGCTTGTGTAAACTGATAAAGAATATGAATTACACAAAAAGTATACACTCGTTTATTAAAGTTCATAAATCACATAACATCACGCCTTTTATCCCAGAAGGGGTAGGCACAATGTAAAACCCACTTTTCACTATTTATGCTTTAATTTCCATATAATAGGGGGTGAGCCTATTGCCATATATTCTTAGTTCATAGAGGTAGTTCATAAATTATTCCTAACTTCGTGCTAGTTTAGTAATGAAAATTGACTTTAGAGTAACCGACATTTAGATCATTTACCAATGATATAATATCAAGATTTGATGGAAATATCCAAGATCAGTATTTTTGAACTGACCAACCACTCTGAGAAGACTACTAGTAGTCTTAGTACCTAGGTACAGTTTTTCAGGTGCACTCATGGCGTCATAATGATCACTACGTAAACAAAACAGCTACTATACTATTCAGCATTTTAGACCACACGTGAAACGTTAAATATAATTCGCCATCAAATATGTCGAATTGGACTCATGACAGAATAACTTAACAATTGTCTTCACTCGTGACTTTCTACGGATAATCATGCTTAACACGTACTTACGACACGCCCAGAGTATTCAAGATAAGATTACAATTGGCAAATATAGTGTCACTGGATTCCCTACCTTATGCCATGGGAGGAAACTTAATATTCATTT